TCCGGGAAGATCCCACATGCCGTGGAGCAGTTGGGCCCATGAGCCATGGCCGCTGAGCCTGCGCATCCAGAGCCTGTGCTCCACAATGGGAGAGGCCACAACAGTGAGAGGCCCGCGTACCGCAAAAAAACAAAAAAACAAAAAAAACTACAATGAGGTATCACCTCACACCAGTCAGAATGGCCATCATCAAAAATCTACCAACAATAAATGCTGGAGAGGGTGTGGAGAAAAGAGAACCCTCTTGCACTGTTGGTGGGAATGTAAATTGATACAGCCACTATGGAGAACAGTATGGAGGTTCCTTAAAAAACCTAAAATGGAACTACGATATGACCCAGCAATCCCACTACTGGGCATATACCCTGAGAAAACCATAATTCAAAAAGAGTCATGCACCACAATGTTCAATGCAGCACTGTTTACAATAGCCAGGTCATGGAACCAACCTACATGTCCATCGACAGATGAATGAATAAAGAAGATGTGGGACATTTACACAATGGAATATTACTCAGCCATAAAAAGAAACGAAATTGAGTTATTTGTATTGAGGTGGATGGACCTACAGTCTGTCATACAGAGTGAAGCAAGTCAGAAAGAGAAAAACCAATACTGTATGCTAACACATATATACGGAATCTAAAAAAGAAAAAAAAACTGGTTCTGAAGAACCTAGGGGCAGAACAGGAATAAAGACACAGATGTAGAGAATGGACTTGAGGACACAGGGAGGGGGAAGGGTAAGCTGGGACGAAGTGATAGAGTGGCATGGACATATACACACTACCAAATGTAAAATAGATAGCTAGTGGGAAGCAGCCACAAAGCACAGGGAAATCAGCTTGGTGCTGTGTGACCACCTAGAGGGGTGGGATAGGGAGGGTGGGAGGGAGACGCAAGAGGGAGGAGATATGGGGATATATGTATATGTATAGCTAATCCACTTTGTTATACAGCAGAAACTAACACACCATTGTAAAGCAATTATACTCCAATATCCAATAAAGATGTTCAAAAAAAAACCAACCATGCTCTGATAGAGCAATTTTTTCACAGTGTGCTCCAGGGAGACAAGGACCTTTAGCGTAACACCTTGCAACCTGGAGATTTTGTCTACTGAAAAAGACACCTCTGGAAAAACTCTCTTCAACTTCGTTGGAAACGCCTGTATCAGGTACCACTAATCAACCCTGGTACTGCCAAAATTCCAGAAAACAGACTCTTGGATTCATGTAACACATTTAAAAAAAGAACAAACCCTGGCTGGACCTGCACACCACCTGGTGACTTGAAGGTAAAGATTCCCCAGAATTGAAACAGATGACATCTGATGAGACAGCTTTCCCAAGATGTCCAGACCAGCCCCATCAGAAAGTTCAGGATTCACAGTCTCTCTCTTTCAACTGGACTATTAACTGAGCCTAGTTTCTGATTCAAATTCATGGTCTCTGAATTTGCAAGCTACAGGCTGTATTACTGTTAAAACACTTGGTTCCAAACAGTTCTTCTGAGATAACAACAACAAAAAAAGTCTTTGAAGTTTTGCTATTTTTGCAAACAGTTCATTAGCTATTGCTTCATGTTTATTCCTGTACTGTGTCTTCCCAGAAAGCCTGTTTAATTCTTTCAGTTTTGAGGGCACACTTGTATCACTATTCTAAGATACAAATTTTAGATGGGAAATGCCCAAGAGATCTCCCTCCTACCCCTCCTTGTTACTTGACCTTGATAGGTTTCTAATCTGTGCACTTTTCCTCTGACATGGGTCACAACACCCAGGAAAGGTCCTTCCTGACATCGAGGGACAAAGGCCGCTAAATCTGAAAAAAAAACTGTTGATCAGTGATGCTTTCAGAGAAGGATCTTGATCAAAAGGGGGAAATGTGAAAATTAATAAACAGAAACCTCATTTAAAATGAAGTAGTGATGCCAGAAGGGGGCGCTCTCATGTCCTACCACTTGACATCAATTGCACACCCAACAAAAAGAGCCATGCCTTGCATCTCCAACAGGAAGAAGGTGACTACTTTACTACCCAACAGGAGGAAGGAAGAATTTCTCCTTGCTTGGCAATAACCCAGCTAATGAGACACTGTCATGACTAAGCCAATGAAAAGCCATTACACTTTGAACTCCAGGTTCCTACAAGGATTCTTTGTTTATAACAGCCCCTCCCAACTCCCCCTTCTCCTCTATAAAAGAACGTTCCGCCCCTTTGTTCACCAGACTTGCCTGTGTTTCACCACAGACTGCATGTCCCAAATCGCAATTCTTTATTGATCCCCGATAAACCCATTTTGCTGGTAAAATAACTGGCTGTTTTATTGTTTTAGGTCAACAAGGTAGACTGCTTCTGCCCCCAAAACATGGATCAATATTTCACACTTTAACTGAACATGAGACCCTCTTTCTCTTCTTACTCTGACAATGGCCTGGAAAGATAAAGCCCTTTCTTCACCTCCATGGTCATATGGTTATCTACATCAGATTTGTCCCCACTCACTAAGAAATCTCACCAGCAGCATCCATCTTTGCAAGACATTTAGAATAATTCTTTAAACTAGGAGATTCTCTCCCCCCAGGCACTAAAAATCTGGCTTACCCCTGGCTTAACAAGTAAAGGCAGCAGTCCCTAAAAATGACATAACTAATAAGGTGTTGCTAGCTCAGCACTTCAAGATGATCTCCAATGCTTCTGACCTTGACAGAATATAGCCTTTGGAAAAGGAACACCTGAGACTTCTCCCTACTACCTTTCCCTGTTACTCAAATGGGCCTGAAGTGGTTTCCAGTCCACACACTGTCCATCTAACATGGGACATGACACTCAGGAAAGGTCCTTCCTGGCATCAAGGGATGAAGGCTACTGAACTCAGAAAGCCTGACTTTTGATTAGCAATGCTTCTGGACAAAGATCTTGTTAAAAAGGGGAAAATGTGAAAATTAATAAAGAAAATGTCAACCAACATCGGAAGTTGGGGAGGCCTGCAGAGGAAGCTCTCACACCCTGCCACTCATTGTCAATTACCTCAAGCAGGAAGAGACATCCCTTGCATCTCCACTACCCCAGCAGGAAGAGATTTTCTCCTCGCCTAGCAACAAGCCCGGCCAATGGAAAATGCTGCAAGTTAGCCAATGAGAAGCCGTCATCTCCCTGAACCCTTACTTTTCTCCAATCAACTTGCATTTTTCTTTTGCTAATGTACTCCTCATCCCACCCTCCTTTTTTATAAAAGCCTTCCATTTTGTATAACTCCCCAGGGTATCGCTCTGCCTGCTAGAGGAGATGCTGTCTGATCCATGAATCATTTAATAAAGCCAATTAGGTCTTCAAATTTACTCAGTTGAATTTTATTTTTTAATAGGACCCATTAATTACAGACATTCCCACATGCTAGGCAGTCACTCATATGATATGGGACCCAACCAGAAATAAACTTCCACCAAAAAACAAAAACAAAAACTCTGCCAGGTACAGCTGCACACCATTCTGCTCACTGTCAACCTTATTACTACTGAATTGGGAGCTTTCACTGGTTTGCAAACTCTTTAAGTAAGCCATCGTTTCAACCAAACATATCAAGTGCTGAAACCCACATCAACCCAACCGGGTATCCATTTAAAGCTGATATCAAATCCCACATCCTAGGCATCACCCTGGCTCAGAATCTCACTGTTCAGATGACATCTCAGACCACAAGTCTGCCACTGGAGACAACTTTACACCCTGGACGCTAAGACCTCTGCCCACGGACTGCCTTTCCTAAGGTACAAGTTGAACACAAGACATTTTTGCTTTTCTTCCTTCAAAATTATGCATTCTATTATGTTTCTCAGCTTGCTGTCTGCTTAGCTCATAATCCTGGTATATATATTCCTCACTCTCTGCCAACACACATAGCCCCCCACGCTCCCATGCCTAAAGGGAAATCTGGCAGATGTTACTATCAGTACCATTTGTACACCATTCCAAAAATTAATGGTGATTATTACTTTCCCCAGGAAGCACCTGTTGTCTTACCGAAGTCAACCCTTCAAGCCTCTAGGAGAGGACCGCTCACTCCCCATCGCCTTCTCCTACTACTGCCCTCCAGGTTTCCACCAGAACCTCCTGCCCTGTGTCTCTCCCCATAACCACTCCTTTCCCTCAGTTACACACACATACCACTGTGAAAATGCTTTAAAGAACTCTAACTCAGAATTGGAATTAGGAATCCACAAGATCACAGCTTGAACAGCACTGCAGGGAGAAGGAAGACTGCCCCCTTGGCCTGGCAACAGCAAGCTGCCCTCGCTTGCAGTCAATGAAAAGGTGCCACCACTGCAAACTCTCATTTTCCACTGATGAACTTTTGCTCAAAGCAACCTCTCCTGGGACTCCCCTTGTGGTCCACTGGGTAAGACTCCACACTCCCAATGCAGGGGCCCCGGGTTCGATCTCTGGTCGGGGAACTAGATCCCGCATGCATGCCACAACTAAGAGTTCACACGCCGCAACTAAGAGTCTGCATGCCACAATTAAGAAGTCCGCAGGCCTCAACTAAGAAGTCCGCATGCCGCAGTTAAAGATCCCGCATGACGCTAAGACCTAGCACAGCCATAAATAAATAGAATAGAATAGAATACTTCAAAAGAAAATTCCTCCCAACTTCCTCCTTTCCTCTATGAAAGAACACTCTCCTCCTTTGCTCTCCAAACTTGCCTGTGGTTCACCATAGTTTGCTGGTCCCGAATTGCAATTCCTCTGCTATTTATGAATAAGCTCAATTGTGCGGGCTGAACTGATTTTTTTTTTTTTTCCAAAAAGGTTGACACCACTAATCGCTAATATACTTTGCTAAATTACCAGATCATACCCTCCAATAGCACAACTGCTCGACCTGCCATCTTGACCCAAGAAATGCACCAAGATATTATTACCAGACTAATACTTTTAACACACTTTACAACTCTCCCAAGATATTACTAAAGAACCCCTCCCCCCCAAAATTCCAGATCTGTGATCTTGGCTAATGCCATATAAATGGGAAACTTAATTATGAGCCGGGCTCAAGGACTCCTTATACCTTCACCAGTGTTCCTCTGTGCTTTATTTTACTCTCATAAAAAATGCTTTCTATGCTGTTTAAGGTAACTTATGCCCTATTCTCTAAATGTCTCCATTGTCTCTGTTATCACCCCAAGTTTCCTTAATATGATGTCAAAACATCAGAGGACTAATTGTATTAATCATGTTTTTAAAAAATATTTTTATGATATTTTGACTTCTTGGGGGCCTCCCTGACAGGGGAGAGATGGCCCCTTCTGGGGTAGCCAATACTTAAGAGACAGCAAAGGGCTCACAAGGGAGCACGACTTTCATACAAAACCCAACAATCCAGCGCTCACACTCTGAGCCACCTCCTCTGACGGCTCTTACCCTCCAAGAGGCAATATTCCTCTGCCCGAATCACCCAGGGCCGGTACCAGACAACTAGAGACCACCCTGCAGCCCACAGCCCACCGACATTATACAAACGAGCCATGCCGTTTCCCCTTTCCTGCCAAAATACAATGCCCCATGCCTTCCCTTCACTGCTGTCTCTGCCTCCGGACGCTGGGTGCTTCCCCAAGTAGCCCCGAGTGCCGTGCCTCTCATTTCTAACAGAACTGCGAATAACAGTAAACTCTTCCTTCAATGGCATGGACCTCTCTGTATTGTTACTCAGTCACCGTTACACATTAAGACCCGGGCACAAATCAGAGGTACGGTTCCCAACGTGGCCAAGTACAATGGTGGCACTTTAACTTCTCCTTTATTTTATGCTGCTGAAATAGCCTAATATTTCAATATGCACTACTAGAATATACACCTAAGATCCACTACTAAAAGCTACTTTATAGGATCCAGCAGATGTTGGTAATTTTTTTTAGCAGTGGGTAAGTGACAGGTGAAGTTAACGTGAGCAACTGTAAGGGTGAAAAGACCTTCTAGGAGACTGAAGTCAACGGCTTAGACTTAAGCATCTAGGCCTAGTAGAGAGGAGGGGATACTTGGCAACATTCAGGGTTCAATTCTTCAATTCAGGGTTCGTTCAGGGTTCTTTCCCGTTGTGGAGCACAGGCTCTGGACGCGCAGGCTCAGAGGTCATGGCTCACGGGCCCAGCCGCTCTACGGCATGTGGAATCTTCCCAGACCGGGACACGAACCCCCGTCCCCTGCATCGGCAGGCGGACTCTCAACCACTGCGCCACCAGGGAAGCCCCACCACTGCTTTTTAATAGATAACATCTGGTCTGATCAATGTAAAACTTACTAAAAAAGAAAACAAATATAATTTTCAGGTTGGGGTTGGAGAAAAACTTGCTACATGCTTACATCCCATACCTGCCTCCCTCTCCTTGTATACTGTCCTGATGTGTTTTCCTGGCATAGGCAGATACCCATTTCATAGCAGCTTTTTAATGTCTTCATATATTAGTGGATGGATGGTGAACTCAAATTTACTGATGGGCCTAGTTTCTAATGCCAATCTGAGTAGAAAGATGACATTTCCTACATGCTTCACATCCACTGAATTAATGAGACAGGGTTGGTTTCAAGGGGTTCTTTGCACTCCTTTGGTTGTATTCTGAACATCCCAGTCCATGTACAGTTTTAGCTCCCTTTATTCATTCTTTGTTGTGTGTGTGTGTGTGTGTGTGTGTAAGTACATACCCTCAAATCAACTATACTGTTTTCAGATTTTTCTATATCCAAGGTACCCTTCTTGTATTTTGATATTAATTAAAACATGCAATTTACAACATCTGAACTACGGCAGGACACAAAACGCAGTTCTAACCCGTTCTGTACTACTCCTCGGGTAAGGACTAACTTCAGCCCTGCCGCTAGACAACTGTTTGATTCCTTCACAGACAACTTCACGGTGACACTCAAAGCCTAAGTGCGTTTTTGGTTAGCCTGTACTCTGAGAAATATACTTCCAGATAAAAATGTGATTTCCCTCCAAAGCATGATGGGAACACTTCACTGGGAAGGGAGTCTTCTTTCTTGCAAAACCTAAACCACCTGTCAATCATCTGGGTTGTCCCCTGTTGTGAGTGAACTACACACCGAAAACATCTGGTTCAGAGAGATTTTCTTAGGTTGTTTTCCAACCATGGGATCCATTCAAATTTCAGGCTAACCTTGTAGAGAGTCAGATGCCACCAGGCACAGACTTCCAACTTTTGAGTAGGGGTCAAGGTTTGCTAAGTGTTCCAATCTGTAACCCTATCAACAAGCATTTTACAAAGCACGATGGATGGATGTTACTCGTCTGTGCCTGGAACACATAAAAACACAAGGGCTTCCAGAAACCCTGAGAGAGAAAATCAATTATTTCTCTCCCGGCCGTTAACCAGCTCTTGCCGACTATTCATCTTACGCGTGATGATGGCTAATATTCGCCGAATGGCGAGCAGACGCTCCTTCAGCGAGATCATGCTGAGTATGGCCAGCTGAGCCTTCCGCTCCAACGGCAGCACTGCCAGGATCCACCAGGACCAGGCAGGACCACTAAGGTTACTCTGCAAAACAAAGGGAAGCACAAAATTAGCACCTACAATACAAGCCTGTTCCCCCCAAATGGTCTTTTGTTTACCCACAGACACGTGAACAAGAATTAAATGCCGTCTTCTCTTTGAGGTCTACCGCGCAATTCATTCAGTCCTCAAAACACAAAGCTTACTGTCACGTCACACACTGAAATGTGGGGACACTCACAAAAGGAAGAATGTGTCAAGAGAAGCATCTTCCACAGGGAAACGCTATGGATTAGTCACCCTTGTTCTCTCAAAGCTCTAGTTCAGAACATATGACCAGCCAGAAAAGGAGACTATAATTTTTACCTCTACCGTCCAATGTTCTGTTGCTGTTCTTTAAGTTTTAAGTATGTTATATACAGCACAATGTTTATAAAGCACACAGTAGGTGTGCAAGTTTGAGTGTTACAGTAAGATAAACCTTATAATACAGTCAGTGACAAATGTACCTCTATATGAAACATCTTTACATATGAGTTATTGTTAAATATATATATATAAGAAATTACTGTCAATTATATATTATTAATAGTTACTATTAATTATACATGTACATATATATGAACTAGTAAGCGACCTGAGAGCCTTTATTTCACATAACCAAGCAGGCACTTCTGGAATGAGCTCTAAGCAAAAGTTGATCACAAAGTTGTTCTCAATAGTCCTGGTACTGGAACCAAGGTATCCAAGGCGCCCGGCTTCTAATGTCTTGACTTCAGAATCCAAACTGGGAACCAGGGAGGGTGGCTCTAGCCTCACCAGAGCTCAGGAGTAACACAGAGGCCAAAGTACGCAGGGCAGCCCACGTCACTGTGCGGAAGGCACCCATCTCCTCTCCAAGGGAAGAAGGCCCAAGTGTTGGACAAAACAACCTTCTGTGTGATTCACACCCTCCCTTTCCCTCCTCATCTTACCGAGTGGGGAGAAACTGAGTAGCATGATTAATGGGAAGGGCCTGGGCATAAAAATATCTCCCACAAAGGACCTAAAATCCTCTGTGGCAGGAAGACTAATGGTCTCCCGAAGGTGTTGACCCCCCAGTTCCTGAAGCCCGTGGCTACGGCAGCTTACACGGCAGAAGGGACACTGCGGATGTGAGTGAGTCAGGGACCTGCAGATGGAGCGCTTATGCTGGATCTCCCCCACCTCAGTGGGCTCAGCCTCATCGCAAGGGTCTTTCCAGCAGGGAGCTGTTCTGGGCTGTGATCAGGGGCAGATGAGTCTACGGAAGAGGGGTCAGAGGTGCAAGCTGCCGGCCTGGAAGACGGACAAACGGGTGAGAGGCAAGGAACACCGCAAGCCTTTCGAGGCCAGAAAAGGCCAGGAAATGGATTCTCCTTTAGAGCCTCCAAGAAGGAAGAAAGTCTTGCCATCACCTTGGTCATAGCCCGGTGAGACCCGTGTCGGATCTCTGACCTCCAGAACTGTACAATAATAAATTTCTGTTGTTTTTAAGCCACTCCCATCATGCAATGTGTTACAATTAGAGATTAATTGGGGTTAATAAGCAAAAACTCCTAGAAAAAAGAATGATTCATACCTCAATCAAGTTAGTCTAATCACCTTGCTTTCTGAATCCAGGCTACAGAACAGAGGAGGAGGGGTTATAACAGAGTGGAGGGTGAGAAAGGACTCGGAGGTGAGCTGAGGCTGAAAGCACTGTCTTGGGTTTGGAAAAGACAGAACTCAAGTGGGGGTAAAAGACAGAAGGCCCCAAGAGACAGAAAAAGAACATAAAAATGGATGGAAAAGATACAAAAGACATTTCATCTGACCGTAAACCTGCTGAGACCTGGCCCTGCCCCCCTTTCTCCAGGATAGGTGAGCGGGCACAGTAGGACGAACTATACACTCTCAGTCACAAGCGCACAGCATCCCCACCTGGGCCACCCAAATGCGGAGAAGTGGAGTCATCTGCACTTACAAATGCTTCACAGACCTGAAACCCGTTCATCACTTAAAGAACCAGTGTCACTGAGAGCAGTCCTGGGAGCAGGGAGAAAGCCCACGATGATGGGATCGAGGGCTAGGAAAGTTTCCGATTTAACGAGAGTTGGGGATTTTCTCTTCATTTATCCAACGCCTGTTCATTGGGTGCAGGGCAATCTTACATGCAAAACATAAAGTGTTCCTGCCAATATACTAAAATGACTACTAAATCTTCCCATGTTGGTGGGAGAAGCACAAAAGCTGACAGTCGATCGGAATAAACTGATTTCTGAGAGAAAAGAAATTACCTTCATGTAGTATTCATCAGAAAGCATGTATCGCTTTGCTCCAAAAGGCACACGCTACTATACCAGGGGCTTCTTTGGGCTGCTGATAAATGAACTGGTTCATAAGCGACCATAATGGAATAAACAGCATAGCAGGTACTGCCAAGTTTTCCCCAGCATAATGTGTCTTAGCACATTACGGCAGGAAATAACAGCATGACAAAAGAAGAAAGGACAGGATACCTGAGGCTCAGGTTCTCTGTCGGGCATTAACCCAAAGTGGCTTAAGATCTGTTCTCTCATGTGATCCTGAAGTGAAGCAAACCAGGACACAGACTGCTGATAAACGGACTCATGCAGGGCGGTGAGCTCTTCATACTCTGCACCTTCCACCTGAGCAAGGAGAAGAGACCTTTTCAACAGTTCATTATCACACGCGTGCCCATCACACAGTGATTGCGGCCACGTCTGCTGAGCGGATTCCTGGCATCTAACACTTCAGTAATTCATCAGTGTTTTATAAACAAGAAAAATGCTCAACATAGAAATCTTCACTTTTTTTACACAGTGGAGCTCTGTCTACCCTGTCTGTCTGTCCATTTGTAACATCCAGATGTTTCTCTTAATATAAGCACGGACCCGATGTTATCATGAATCATTTTTAATGAGTACCTGCAATCCTATATCAGAGCTGTGCCATGATTTACTCAACCATTCACGTAAGATACATTTTAAAATAATACAAGTAATATACGTATTTACACAAAAGTGGTTTTGCGTGTGTGTGTGAGAGAAGGGGCTGTCATTTCCTCAGGATAGTTTCTCAGCAGCAGAATTACCAAGTCAAAGAGTTATAACATTTTAAAACTTGTATTCCACGTCACCACATTATATTCCAATAGACATGTTACAGCGACAGTGCATTCACGGCCTGAGCCTGATGCCAGGGGGAGGCCCTTAGGCTTCAGACGGATGCGCCCTGCTGCCCGGGGCCCCTCTCACTGCCCAGCAAGGCTCAGTCCTAGGTAGGGACACCTAGGAACAGGTGAGCAGGAACAGCTCTGGGCTGAGGACCAGGGGACCCAGGTTTGTTCTGGCTCCATCATTGCCTCTTGTGTGGAAGCTTCGGCCAGTTGCTCAGCTGCTTTAGGAGAGAATTTTCCCATCTGTAAAATGGGAATAAAGTACTAAGGTCCTTCCTGATTGTAAAACGACAGCATTTATGAAAATTGAGGTAAACTGAGGAATCAGATTATAACACACGTGACCATTCTCAATTTGATTTATATAATACAAATCAAATATTCATATGTAGTGGAGAGTTTTCTTTTAAAAAAAACCAAAATTATTTCATATGGTAGCTATTTAAGCTACCATTTTAAAATCTATACATACACCCCCAAAAGTCATCATCCACAATGATAGTCAATAAACCCTCTCATCAGAGCTGTTATCAGCATAGAAGAGGAACCCTGAGAGCCACCGCACTCGGTCTTCTTCACGCTCAGCTCCCTGGGCCCAAGACCTCAGAGCTCACCTCGCTGCACTCTGCCCCCTGCCCCACAAGGCCCGGTGCCCACAGATGACCAGAAGCAGCGGCTGGCAAGGGGACAGAGCTGGCACCGTGGGTGTGACTACTCACCTTTTCATCTTCCAGATACTCAATATCTGCCGTGTTGTAGCCGTCTCTGTGACGGTGGCTCAAAACCCGGAAGCGGCTAATCCCGACGGCATCCACGACGGAGCTGCCGTCGGGGAACGTCCTGACGTCCTTGATCTCCAGCATGCAGCCGTACTCTGAGATCCTGGCAGGACAGGCGGGAGAAACAACCCTGACTTTAAAAATGCAGGAGGGTCTTCAGTTCTCCCCAGATGCAATCCTGGGTCTTAAAGGAATAAAAAGCCAAATGAAACAGACAGCATCTCCATGCCAGAGCAGCAAGGTTATTTCCTCCAAGAGACCAGCAGCCGATGAGAAACACACTGATGTGCGACGTGGCAAGAGAAGGGCCGGCGGGGACGGGGTACTTGTGCCTCAGCCCTTCTAACCAGTGGGGTGGGGACAGGTGGACCTGAAATGTGGCCCCCCAGCCCCCTTGGCCGGGGCACTAGAGCACTGTCCCCACCCCCCGCCCCTCAGACTCTGCTCCCCTCCCCCATGCTGTTTCCGTCCCCAACAAACTGCCGCAGAAAGGCATCTACAAGCACCGTCTTCGGGACTTCCCTGGTGGCGCAGTAGCTGAGAATCCGCCTGCCAATGCAGGGAGCACGGGTTCAGGCCCTGGTCCGGGAAGATCCCACATGCCGTGGAGCAACTAAGCCCGTGCGCCACAACTACTGAGCCTGTGCTCTAGAGCCCGTGAGCCACAACTACTGAGCCCACGTGCCACAACTACTGAAGCCCGTGTGCCTAGAGCCCACACTCCACAGAAGCCACCGCGATGAGAAGCCCACGCACCGCAACGAAGAGTGGGCCCCGCTCTCTGCAACTAGAGAAAGCCCACATGCCGCAATGAAGACCCAACACAGCCAAAAATAAATAAATAAATAATTTTTTTAAAAAAGCACTGTCTTCATCTCCCTGTCTCCCCATCACACCTCAAGACCCCGCTGTTCTACCGACACGAGCCCAGTGGAGTCACACGTGAGGCTGGCACACCCCAGCTGACCTGTTGCTGACCCAGCACTCTCGCCCTCCCTGACCGGTCCCTCCCTTCACCACCTGCATCCTCCACGTGTCCCCAACACACTGGGGCTGCCCGGGACACTGTATCCTCACTCCAAAGCTCTCCCGCGTGACCCTACCCACAGTCACGGTTCCCACTGTCCCCCACATCCTGATGGTATCGATCATGCCTACGATGCGTCAAGCATTACACAGAGCAATTTATCATACGTATTCATCCAAGCCTCACAGAAACATGGAGGCTCAGAAAAATTAAACTGATCTAGGGCCACAGGAAGATTCAGAGCCGAGATCTGAACCCAAGGGGATCTGATGCTAAAGTGGATGAACAACTGCACTACACACCTCCGAACTAACGCTGAGGGAGGACTCCCAAGTTACACACCTGCATAGAGTTATCACACCTCTGCCTGGATCACCAATAAAGCGCCCTCCTTCCTAAGGGTCTGTCTTACCCACAGCTGCAGTGCGCATGCAGCCGCCTGAAGAGCCCCTTCAAAGGAGGCCTCGGTGCCCCAGCTCACGTCAGCTCTTCCAAAGTCCGTCTCAGCCACAAAACCTGTTCCTGTGATAAACATCTCACCTGGTCTGTGGCCAGGAACTTGGCTGCCAACTCTGCAGCATCCAGGGGATCGAGGCTCTCATGTTTGCCCACGAGGCCATTAGAAATTTGTCCAAAAAATCAGCTGAATTCTCCCCCTCTCCTGGGCTTGGCCATGGGTGAGCCAGGGCTCCTGTCTGCTCTCTCCCTGGAGGACCTGTCTCTCCTCGGTTACCCTGAGCAACCTGCCCTTTGATGGGTTCAGGAAACAGGTTCAGTAGCTTATCTGTAGTAAATCTTTTCTGAATGTTCCATATTCCCAGTGGAAGTGGAACTTATGAAACTGTTTTTTCACTTTGCTTATGCTGACTGTGATGAATCAACTCTTAATAATTCAAACGTATTCATCTCTTTCTCTACGCTAATGCGCTCGGCATGTTGCGTAAGAAAAGACTCTCTCCCTGTTGCCAATTGTAAAGATAGTCCCCAATATTCTCTCTTAAATGTTTTAATATTTTGTTTTTCACATCTCACATCTCACATTGGGAATGTAAACGTGCTACTTTTTGTGTATAGTATAAGGCAGAGAAAAGATTTTTTTTTCCCATTTGGACTACCCCCTAATTGTCTGAGTATCTTTTATTGAGGAGTTTTGCCTTTTCTCACAAAATTACATACAAATTTGGAGTCCAGATATGAGTGGATCTGCTTATCTCTATAGTCTGTTTCAATGGTCTACTTACTTGGACTTGTAAGTTTATTGCAGGGATGTTCTCCCATCTTTCTCAGCTGGTTTTTCAAAACTACCAGGTCTTGGTCTTTAACATAATGATTCTAAAATCAGCTTGAGCAATTCCACGGAAAACCCTCTTGTGATGCTGAGCAGATCTACTTTGGATTTATAGGCCAACCGGGGTAAAAAGAACATCTCTCAGCCGTAAAAAGAAACAAAATTGAGGTATCTGTAGTGAGGTGGATGGACCTAGAGTCTGTCATACAGAGTGAAGTAAGTCAGGAAGAGAAAGACAAATACCGTATGCTAACACATATATATGGAATCTAAGGGAAAAAAAGTCATGAAGAACCTAGGGGTAAGACAGGAATAAAGACACAGACCTACTAGAGAACGGACTTGAGGATATGGGGAGGGGGAAGGGTAAGCTGGGACAAAGTGAGAGAGTGGCGTGGACATATAGACACTACCAAACGTAAGGCAGATAGCTAGTGGGAAGCAGCCGCAGAGCACAGGGAGATCAGCTCGGTGCTCTGTGACCACCTAGAGGGGTAGGATAGGGAGGGTGGGAGGGAGGGAGACGTAAGAGGGAAGAGATATGGGAACATATGTATATGTATAACTGATTCACTTTGTTATAAAGCAGAAACTAACACACCATTGTAAAGCAATTATACTCCAATAAAGATAAAAAAAAAAACATCTCTCTATGACACTGAGTCTATGTACCCATGATCACAGTATCTCTGTCCATTCTTGAATATCTTTCAATAAAGTTGTAGAATTTTCTCCATAAATGTTCTACATACATCTTTAGAAAGATATGTTCCTAGGTATATACGGTGGAAACTAGCAGATAGCCCTAAACATCAATTCTCCCCTAACTCCTGGGCAACTGGATGGACTACATTTCCCAGCCTCCTCTGCTGGAGGTGTGAGCAGCAGTGACTGCTATGGGCCCCTTTTCTCCAGGATCCCCTACAAGCACCAGGGCCTCTTCCACCAGCTAGAACTTGGATGTAATGACCTCATCAGGACCATGCAGTAACGACAAAGCCCTAGAGGATCAGGAAGCCAGGACGTGGGCAGGACTCAGGGTCCCCAGAGCAGTCTTTGGAGGGGAGCTGCCTGCTGATTTGGAACATCTTCCCTAGAAAAATGATGCAAAACAAAAAGAGATAGAAAACCAAGCAGGGCTTCCCTGGTGGCACAGTGGTTGAGAATCTGCCTGCTAATGCAGGGGACACAGGTTCGAGCCCTGGTCTGGGAGGATTCCACATGCCACGGAGCAACTAGGCCCATGAGCCACAACTACAGAGCCTGCACGTCTGGAGCCTGTGCTCCGCGACAAGAGAGGCCGCGACAGTCAGAGGCCCGTGCACCGCAATGAAGAGTGGCCCCCGCTCGCCACAACTAGAGAAAGGCCTCGCACAGAAACGAAGACCCAACACAGCCAAAATAAATTAATTTAAAAAACAAAAAAAACCCAAGCACCATGGGTTTTTATAAGACTGAAAGTTTTCTGGCTGTGTGGATAAAGGTTTCGTGGAGGATGTAACAATTTTTTTAGACCTAAAATGTTGGACCAGATTTGTTTGTATAATGGTGAGCTAGAAGAGAAGTACAGACAGAGGGAAGCATGGAGGCATGAAAACATGAACTTTTTTTAGAGGAGGGCGAATAATGTGGCGATGGACTAGTAGGTATGATGTTCCAAAGGAAGGAATAGGAGATGAGGCTAGAAACGAAGGGTGGGACCACATCATGGATGGCCCTGAACTTATACTTTGTTACGTAACAGGAGACACTAGAGGTTTTCAACATCACCTTAAGCTGTTCTTCAAGACAAATGATACACTTAATTAGAACCCTTTCTTTGAACACTGGTAATTCTTACCCTGCGTGCTCTGCAGATAAACACATGCCAAACCGTTTGGTGCCAGTTTCCACGCATCTTCTTATCATAAGCCGATAGCGGGGCTCAAAGACGTGGAGCGGACAGGACACGGTGGGGAAGGCCATGGCACACACGAAGATGGGCACATCCCTGGTCAGACTGCGGGGTGAGGGAAATGTGAACTTAGAGGTGGAGCTGTTAGAAACAGAAGGGAGTGAGAGTCGCTGTGAAACAGCAGAAGCTAGGCAACCTCAGCTCTCTCACTTACAAACCCCTCAGGTTTGCCTCACGCTGAGGTGGGAAAAGAAAGCCAAGGGCCACAGCTTGAGAAAGTTCTCAGCTGAGCCACGTTCCCTGCCAAGCCCTCTTATTTAATCTGAGGAGACCACGCTTATGATCACTATAAAAACATTCTGATGACCTTGGAGACACTGTGCTACGTGAAATAAGTCAGACAGAGAAAGACAAATACCACTGTAGGGGCTCAATTATATGTGGAATCTAAAAATAAACAAAACCAAGCTCACAGATACAGAGAACAGACAGGGTTACCAGAGGAGGGGGCAGGTGAAATGGGTGAAGGGGGTCAAACAGCACAAGGTTCCAGTCATGAAATAAATAAGTCCTAGGGATGTAAGGTGCAGCATGGTGACTATCGTTAGTAACACTGTGCTGCGTATTTAAAAGTTGCTAAGGGCTTCCCTGGTGGCGCAGGGGTTGAGAGTCCGCCTGCCGATGCAGGGGACGCAGGTTCGTGCCCCGGTCCGGGAAGATCCCACATGCCACGGAGCAGCTGGGCCTGTGAGCCGTGGCCGCTGAGCCTGCGCATCCAGAGCCTGTGCTCCGCAACGGGAGAGGCCACAGCAGTGAGAGGCCCGCGTACCGCAAAGAAAAAAAAAAAAGTTCCTAAGAGAGTAGATCTTCAAAAGCCCTCATCACAAGAAAAAAATTTTTGTAACTATGTCTGGAGACATGTTAACTAGACGTGTTGTGGTGATCATTTCACAACATACACAAATATCAACTCATTACGTTGTACACCTGAAGCTAATACAATGTGAGATGTCAATTATATCTCAAGAAAAGTAAATAAGAAAAAAATTCTGATGAAAGCCGTCAAAGGTAATGAGTTCTAAATAAAAAAAGAGTAGAAGAATGATAAGGTCTCAATACTTACGGGTCACTACAACACGACATTTTAATCACTTTAAAAGAGAAAAAATAACTGTCAAGCCTATTTTCAGTGGTAATCCCTTTTTCCCTTCTATGTCCTGTGCCTTTTCAATTCTGAAAAATTCAGCATTGCTTATTTAGATACAAAAAACAACCATATAATATTGTCAAAACACACTTTTGAAATATTTCTTACAAACTTTTTCAATTAAATTCATATAAACTCTTTGCAATTAATTTTTTTGGAGGCTAATTTCTCTGCCAAAGGCAGGGGGAAAAAAAATGAGATAAAGTCGTGAAATTAACAAGGATTTTCTTCTTTAGCCTGAACTCAACACCAAGCACCTGGAGCACAGAGACTTACTTTGAAAGCTCCATCATTTCTTCATCATAAATTCTCTTTCTGTCAGACAGTTCGTCTGACAAATATCGAAATATTAATTCTTCAGCCAGAGTAGTTATATGAAAATTTCTGCTTGCCAACAACTGGAACAAAAGAAAAAGTTAAATAATACCACATGGTAATTAATTCTTAAGGACAAAGAGCTCTCTTCCCAGTCAAGGGTCAACAAGGAGGTGGGGGGAGGGGAGTCGTCTCAGAAGATGAAAGGGACTGAGGTGAGAGCAGGGGAGTCAGCCCTGAGAGGGAGAGAAGGGGAGGGGGAGGGGAGGGGGAGGGGAAGTACCCGGACGCCCCCCACTCCATGAGAGAAGCAAAGAAAGGGTTCCCTTGGAGCAAGGAAGAGGCAATTCCCATTTTGCTGGTGTATACCCTTTCCATGAGTATCATAATGTCAGGGAGGGTGAGTAGCAGGTGGTGGGAGAGAAGAGAGATGAAAGAACCACCTGGAGAGTGAAAAGCTGAGGCTACCAGAGAAGCACAGTAAGGATGACTAATAAGGACTTCCCTGGTGGCGCAATGTCTAAGAATCCGCCTGCCAATACGGGTTCGAGCCCTGGTCCGGGAAGATCCCACATGCCGCGGAGCAGCTAAGCCCGTGCATCACAACTACTGAAGCCCGTGTGCCTAGAGCCCGTGCTCCGCAACAAGAGACGCCACCGCAATAAGAAGCCCGTGCACCACCACCACAACGAAGAGTAGCCCCTGCTCACCACAACTAGAGAAAGCCTGTGCTCAGCAACAAAGACCCAATGCAGCCCAAAACAAATAAATGAATAAGTAAATTTATAAAAAAAAAAAATGACTAATAAGGTTTTGGGTCTCAGATTTAAGATTATGAATTTAAAGTGAAATTTAATCTTCCCTATTTTGTGGGTTTACTCTGGCACTGTGATGCTACTTATACAGACGCACACAAAAGGCAAAGAGTTGACTTGACCTGGACTGGGAAAGGGCATTGAGGGTCTGAGGAATTAAAGCTGGATGTGAAGGGGAAGTAGGTTGAGACCGAATAAAAAAGTGCTAGGAATTGTCAGTTCCCAAGAAATACTTACTTCTGAGAGTTTTTCTTTGCACAAAGGACAATGTGGGGCATGGTCCAGGCAGCGCTCGAGGCATTTTAGGCAAAACATGTGTCCACAGGGCGTAGTGACAGGCTCAAAGAGCAACCTGGAGAAGACATCTGGGTTTTCAGCAAGAAATGTCCAGCAGATGTTTTCAAATAACCTTTTTATAAGAAATCACTTATATCCATTTTCCATTTACAACTTCCTTAATCTTATTTTTAGAAAATAAATCAATTGTTATTGAGATATACGTAATTTCTCTAACAATAAAAAGCCCGTTATGTTTGGGATACAAAATTCAGAAAGGCTGAATTCTTCACAGTTGCGTAGATTCTATGTCATCCTACCTCATGCAAAGGGCACACTCAAAATCAGCCACATCTATCAGGAGCTCTGCACTTTCTCCTACGTTAGAGCTCACGTTCCTTTGGGGTGAGGAATCAGCCTCTGAAAAAGTTAAATGCTATAATTAACACTTCCACATCTGGGTAAGAGCATGTGATAACTGTATTTCCTCTGGGTAAAGTATGTTACACCAATGTAACAAACCATGCTGGATGGGATTAGCAGTCCAGCTGTCCCTCCGTATCGCCGTGGGGACTGGCTCCAGGATCCCCACAGATACCAAGACCCCTGACGCTGCAGTCCCTTATGTAAAATGGTGTGGTATTTGCATATAACCTAAGCACATCTCCCCACGTACAGGCATCGCCCAGAGATATTGCAGGGTCAGTTCCAGTACACTGAAATCAAGTGAATATTGCAATAAGCTGCATCACACAATTTTTTTTTTTGGTTTCTCAGTGCATATAAAAGTTATGTTTATGCTATACTGTAGTCCATTAAGTGTGCAACAGCATTATGTCTAAAACAAATGTACATGCGTTAATTGAAAATAATTTATCGCCAAATGTGCTAACCATCTTCTGACAACACAGGTTTGCCACAAACCTTCAATTTGTTAAAAAAAAAAAAAAAATCTGCAAAGCACAATAAAACGAGGTGTGCCTGTGCGTTAAATCATCTCTAGGTTACTTATAACACTTATAGTAACATATGTAAATGCTATGTGTTGATGACTCATCCCTACACAGGGCAAAAGAAAGTTTTGCTTTTGGACTTTCTGGAATTTTTTTTTTCTGAATATTTTTGATCCGTGGTTGGTTGAATCCGCAGATACTGAGGGCTGACTGTATACAGCCATAATTTAACTGTAAAGCATGAATAAAAGTGAAAGTTATACCTAAATTTTCTCTGTTATTTTTGACTATGAAGTCCTTGTAGGGGTAAACATTTAAACTGTCCTACAATCTTGAAGGTGATATGTTCATTTCATTACCAATTTTAAACCACCTATATAAAATGTTTCTAAAGTATACTGAGTATCAGCCAACATTCTATCACTCTAGGGTCACACACGCAGTGACAAAATAGCCTTACTGGGCTTCCCTGGTGGTGCAGTGGTTGGGAGTCCGCCTGCCGATGCAGGGGACGCGGGTTCGTGCCCTGGTCCGGGAAGATCCCACATGCCGCGGAGCGGCTGGGCCCGTGAGCCATGGCCGCTGAGCCTGCACGTCCGGAGCCTGTGCTCCACAACGGGAGAGGCCACAACGGTGAGAGGCCCACGTACCGCCAAAAAAAAAAAAGTAGCCTTACTGACCTTTCTTGGGAATTTTTCCAGGGCCGTTCACATCGTGCGCATCCTCCAAATCATTCGGAAACTGTCTCTTTAAACCAGTGCTCAGCGCCGCTGGAAGAAAACTTTCTAACACTTCCTTATCCTCCTCAGAGTGTAGGCCCAGTATAAAATATAACACCGAAGAATTGGTATTTCTAAATACATCCTGTTTCTCAGATGGATTCTGGTTAAGTAGGAAAAGAGAATCCTGAATCTTAAAGAAATCATAGCATCAGAGAAAAAAAAATCATGCAGTAGCCTTTCTTAGAAATCTCTGGAAAAAAAGAGAGCATATACTCTTCCCTCATAACTGGTTTCATCTATTAACTTCTAAGATGAACTTTACACTTTTCATCGTAAAATATAAGGATAATTTCTTCCGGAAACAGATCAACTGAACACCAATCTTCATACATTCAAACCATCCCTCTGCTCTTTTTTCTCCAAGACAAAATAATATCAAGTCTCCTGATGTTGTGAGTTGTTTGGAGATGTTCTAAAAGTTTCTTTCAATCTTCAGTGATTTTCATTACTTCCATCAAATTCCTTTAAAAGTGTCAATTCTCAGGCTGAGAAGCCAGAACTGGTCTTAAGAAGTACTTGTAGCTAACGTAACGCAACCGTGTGAGTAACTTGTAAATGTTCAAAATTACATAAAGCTTAAGCAACATAATATTGACAAACACGTGCACTTCCCACCTTAGAACTCCCTGCACTGCCACCTCCCTCCACAGGAGGCTGGCTGTTTATGTGGTTCTGACACTGCGCCGTTAATCTTGTGTTCAACATTCTGCTTTGGATGGAAGATGTTAAATTCTGAGGCACGTTTTCTGAAGCAGGGAAAAACACCTCACACATTACCTGTAAAATTGCCAAGATGGAAAAATATATATTTTAAGACACTTTTGAAAAATACATCACATACCTGAAAGACTCAGAGGAAACTCTGAAGCCAAACAGGCCTAAGACATTGACAAAAATAACTACCCTATTCCAACTGCCAATGTTTTAAAAATTCAAGTGTGTCTGAAACCACAGTCAACATCTTAAGCATCTGAGCCCCCAGTTCCTGTCCATCTTACTCGTACCAATTACAAAATACGACCATTACAGTCTCTTTGAGTTTGGTCCTTACACACCTGCTACAGAAAATCTCCCCTAAATGTCTCAGGGGTAAGAGAGAAACGTGGGGTGTATCGGTTGCAGGGGGTCCCAGACTGTACCTGAGCTGTGATGACCCACAGGATTAAGATAGTTCTAGAGGGCTGCTTAATTTACAAGAGAACCGGAAGAGTCAACCAGTACGAACTTTAAAGGAAGAGAAGGTGAAGGGACACAGTTCTGGTTCACCAGCTTTTGGTGGTGGTGGGAAGTGCTGGCCAGTCCCTCGATGGTCCTGCAGAAACTCATGGACTCAGCTGAATCCGAGGGCTTAAGAGAGGCGTAGAGGAGTCACTGAAACCTCAACGAAGAATGCAGCCACTGCGCTGCAGGTGACAGATGAGCGCACCAGAACCCACGACCTCTGCGGCAGTGAGGGTCAGCACCTCAGCAGGGACGGCAGTGTCCTCGGCACTGGCCCTGAGGGGTCAGCAGAGCTGCAGGAGGCTGCCAGGGAGGGTACCACATCTCATGGGCATCAGGAGGCTGGCACTGTTTGGCACTGTCCGTGACAGAAGATACCTAGCACCTGTACCATGCTGGAGGAAAAAACATCATGTCTGCATGCAAAAGCGCCAGACGGGCAAGAATCCACGAGACCTGAAACCTGGTCCTGGGACCTTCCTGAATCTGCTTAACGTCGCTGAGCTCGGGCTCAACTTCTCGTGATGCTGTTGTGAGGATCAGTTGGGGTAACACATGTTTGACGATTCTTGTGAAAGTTGCAGGTGAGACAAAGCAGGCAGGAATCGTTCAAAACAGCCAGCTCAAGATTCAATATTATTTTGACAAGTGGAAACAGTGATCAAAACCAATGAGTGACAACTTAACAGGACCAACAAAGACCAGTCAACTACACAAGAATAGGATAAAAAATAGTGCCAGGAAGTTCTCATTACAAAAGAAACATCTGGCTCTTCTGGCCAATTACAGTTCTAACAGAAGCCAACAGTGTGATGGGAGGCTAAAAATAAACTCCCAGTGAACACAGGGAAGATACACGTTCACCGCCTGCAGCCACTGCATATAGGGGCTAAAGTTCGGGGTATACAGCAAGGCAGCCAGAGGAGGAAACCTGACAACCCCGTTCTATGGGGAGAGGATGTTAGGTTCAAAGAACTAGTTAAGGCGAAGATGATAGCTCTTCTCTAATACCTAAGGCGGTTTAAATTAAGGAGGAAAAACTTCTCTCTTGCTCCAGAGACTAAAACTCAACTGTAGAGTGGAAATTACAGGGTAAGTGTACCGTACAAGTTGAAAATAAACAGTGTTAAAATATGGAAACGTTGATGTAAAAGCAAGGACTCCTTGTCATTGGAAATGCTAAGACTGTGTGCCTACTGTACAGGCCTTTTTATAGGGCAGGTCCCCACATCAAGTGTGACTCGACGACCTCTAATAAGACTGGGTTAAAGATTTGCATAAAACAGCAGGTGTTTCTGCTCCATGTTGGTAAAGCTCTGCTGAAAATTTCAAGTCAACCTATGTAGCTCAATCGATAACTTTTGCATAAATCATGATGTCTCTTACAGGGCTTCTGCACAAACTACAGTCCTAGGATAAAGCACTTTGCCTCCCCAGCTGCACACATCTACCCTGCCTCAGTAATACGTGTCACTATTTCAGTAGAATTGAGGTATGTGTACACTGTCTCATGAAACATGCGGCATCATCAAATGCATGAACTCATCATTATCACTGTGTGTTTTAAATCACACTGTCATGAATAATTCAGAACTACATTTCTTGTTCATTTTACGTGTAGCAGCTACTCAGCATGGACACAAAGGCTGAAGATAAGACTTCAAGAGGAAAGTCATTGAATGGAAATCACACCTTCTGCACTTCTTTCTTCACTGAGTTACATTCAGGATTCAAAGCCAGGCAGTAGAGAAACTCCTTCAACACTTCCTTACTTCTTCCCAGTCCGGAAAGAGCCAGAGCTTTCACGTGATGTCCCTGGATTCATCCAAAGATATACATTTGAAAAAACAGTGTGATGATATACTCACGTACAAACAGCCCTGAAATTAAAAAAAAAATCACTGGAACTGTTTTATTTGCACATTAAGTAGAATAAACACAAGCCCACCGAGGATGGCTCTAGCTCTACTGCCTTCGAAACTGGGCAAACCTGAATGTCCCACAAGTGCAACACACAATCAGAACACAGGAGTCCATACCTGGAATGTGAGCCCAAAGCAGTTCCAAGGGACATGCTGAGAGACAACTGACTGTCTACCACCCTTCACTCACCCAGCAATCACAGGTCACTACCATGTTCCTGTCTTCAAGGAGCTTACAGTCTCGTGGGAGCACACAGACAGGACAGACATAACTAACACAAAGTGTAATATACAAAGTCCCACAACAGAAATGAACAAAACGCAATATGGGTCAATATTTTCCAACAGCATTTTGTTTTTGCTTTATGGATGCAGTGCGGCAACGAAGACCCAATGCAGCCAAAAATAAAAATAAATTGATTTAAGAAAAGGGAGGGCATACTTGTCTTGCTCCTGACCACTGAGAAAAGGCTTTTAACTTTTCACCACTGAACATGATTTTGGCTGTGAGCTTGTCATATATAGCCTTTATCACGCTGAGGTTCATTCCTTCTATACTTAATTCGTTGAGAGTTTATGTCATAAAAGGGGGCTGAATTTTGTCAGATGCCTTTTCTGCATTTATTAAGATGACCAGGGTTTCCCTGGTGGCGCAGTGGTTGAGAGTCCACCTGCCGATGCAGGGGACATGGGTTCGTGCCCCGGTCCGGGAAGATCCCACATGCCGCGGAGCGGCTGGGCCCATGAGCCATGGCCGCTGCGCCTGCGCGTCCGGAGCCTGTGCTTCGCAATGGGAGAGGCCACAACAGTGAGAGGCAAAAAAAAAAAAAAAAAAAAGATGACCCTATAATTTTTATCCTCCATTCTGTTAATGTGGGGTATCACACTGACTGATCTGCATATGTTGAACCATCCCTGCATCCTAAGGATAAATCCCACTTGATCCCGCTGTAGTGATCCTTCAGTGTGCTCTTTCATTTGGTTTGCTGGTATTTTGTCGAGAATTTGTGCATCTACATTCATTAGAGATAACTGGCCTATACTTTTCTTCTCTTGCAGTGGCCTTGTCTAGCTTCAGTATTGGGGTAATGCTAACCTCATAAAACGATGTTGGAAGTGCTCCATCCTCCCTCAATTTTTGGAAGAGTTTGGTGAGGATTGGCATTAATTCTTCTTTAAATTGATAGAATAGATTGATATCAATTTAGATTGATAGAATTCATCAGTGAAGCCACCTGGTTCTGGGATTTTCTGTTCTGGGAGATTTTCCATTACTGGTTCAATCCCCTTGATTGTTATTGGTCTGTCCAGATTTTCTAATTACTTCTTGATTCAAGACTTGGTAGGCTGTATGTTTCTAGGAATTTACCTATTTCTTCTAAATTATCTAATTTGTTGGTTTATAAATGTTCCAAGTAGTCACTGAACCTTTGTATTTTTGTGGTATCAAATGTCTTCTCTTTTACTCATAATTTTATTTATTTGAGTCATCTCTTTCTTCCCTAGTCTAGCTAAGGGTTTGTCAATTTTAACTTTTCAAGAAACCAAATCTTAGCTTTGTTCATCTTTTATGTTGTCTTTCTCGTCTCAATTTCATTTATTCCTGCTCTTTTTTACTTCCTTCTGCTAACTTAGTTTGTTCTTTAGGTTCTTGAGATTTAAGGCTGTTGTTTTCTTTTATTTTTTTAAAGCATTAGTATCTATTTATTTATTTATATTTATTTATTTTTGGCTGTGTTGGGTCTTAATTGCTGCATGCAGGCTTTCTCTAGTTGAGTGAGCGGGGGCTACTCTCCATTGCGGTGGCTTCTCTTGTTGAAGAGCATGGGCTCTAGGCACGAGGATTTCAGTAGTTGTGGCACGCAGGCTCAGTAGTTGTGGCTCTCAGGCTCTAGAGTGCAGGCTCAGCAGTCCTGGCGCACGGGCTTAGTTGCTCTGTGGCATGTGGGATCTTCCTGGACAAGGGCTCGAACCCGTGTCCCCTGCATTGGCAGGTGGATTCTTAACCACCGCGCCACCAAGGAAGTCCCTGAGGTTGTTTATTTTAGATCTTACTTTTTTCTTAATGTAAAAGTTTAGTGCTACAACTTCCTTGTTAGAACTGCTTTTGCTGCATCCCATACATTTTGGTATGCTGTGCTTCCACTTTGGTTCGTCTCTGGGTATTTTTCTATTTTCCTTTTGATTTCTTCTTTGGCTCAGTGGTTGCTCACAAGCCTGTTGTTTAATTCCTATGTATTTGTGACTTTTCTAGCTTTCCTCCTATTATGTATTTCTAGTTTCATACCACTGTGTCTGGAAAAGATACCGGATAAAATTCCAATCATCTTAAAATTATTAAGACTTGCTTTGTGACCTAGCATATGATCTATCATGGAGAATGTTGTGTGCCCTTGAAAACATATATTTTGCTGCTGTTTGTTGGAATGTTCTGTATATGTCTATTCGACTCATTTGATCCAGGAGTCCACTATTCCTTATTCAAGTTCAAGTCCATTATTTCCTTATTGATTTTCCATCTGCATGACCTGGCTTCAGGGGATCATCTAAACTCCCCTTCACCTAAAGTTGGCTGTGAGGGTACCAGCTGGGTAGGGGTGCACTGGCACCATCTCCATGCAGATCTGCCAGCTGAGTTCAACACTGGCAAAGACCGTGGCGACACTCAGCAGCTGAGACTGCCAGCATCCCATGGGTACCTGCAATGGCAGCGGCAGCTAGGGCTGCTGGGGTCCTCCTCTTCTCTTCTACGTGTGGGGGGATGTTCCAGCTGAGGGGATCCCTCTGTGGTACCAGGCCTGAGGCACTTGCATTCAGAGCAGAGCAGGAGTCACAAGCTCAGTGGCAGGCAGAACTACCGTGGCCCCTGTGGCCTGGGACACAGGCTCACTTGCTGCGATGATGGAGTCAGTATCTGAGGTGCAAGTGTGTGCACATCACGCATGGAACCGGGGTCTGGGTCCCCCTGCAGTGATTTGTATTTAAGGGGGTCAAGAGGGGGCAAGATGCAGCAGCAGCAAAGCCCAGGGATAACAGGGCACAGAGGTGTCCCAATTGAGGAGGAAGGGATGGAGCACAGAGCAACAGCTGCACAGTCTGGTGACAGAGAGTCAAAGTCCCAACTGAGGACCCAGGGGGTGGGGCACAGAGCAGCAGCTTCATGGTCCCGTGATGGCAGAGTAGCAGATGCATAGACCCTAACTCACTTAGGCCCCAGGGGGAAGGGCACAGCACAGAGGCAGCTCTGATTCCCACAGGTGGTGAGGCCCTGTGGCACCCTAATCCTCGTGAGTGGGGCCCAGCAGCAACCTGGGTTCCTGAAAGCAGGTCTCACCACAGTGAGAGCTCCAGCACTGGGAAGGAGACCCTGGGGAAGGACCCTGGGCAGCTCCATCATCTGGGTTCAGGATTGGTGAAGACTGTAAACGTCCTTGGAAGCAAAGGCTGCAGAGGTCCATGGTGGTGACAAGGATTGCTGAGGTCCTCCTGTTCTTCTTTCCCCATGGGGTGAAATCCCTCTGAGGGTATATTTCTACAGACTTTTAAGTCTGTATCTTTGCATTTAAAATTGACTCCTGTAGGCAGACACCATGTAGTTAGTTGGTCCTTGCTTTGGTCTATTTGTGGTGCACTTCATCACTTCCTTTATATTTGAGTTACAATTTACTGTTTTCCTTCAGACTTGAAAAATTCCTTTAGCATTTCTTGTAGTACACATCTGCTGGCAACAAAGACATGTTTCCTAAAAATGTCTTTATTTCAGCTTCATTTTAAAGATATATTTTTACTGGACATAGACCTTTGGTTGAAAGGTTTCTTCTTTGGGCACTTTGAATATGCTATTCCAATGTTAACTGGCTTCCACAGTTTCTGATGATCTGTCATTAATGATCTTATTATCTTCCTGTATGTCGTTTTTCTCACTTCATGTCATCTTTCTCCTGGTGCATTCAAGAATTTCTTTTTGTCTTTGGATTCCTGAGTGGCAGTCATTATGATGTGTCAGGGAGTGTATTTATTTGCATTTATTTTGCTTTGGGGTCATTAAGCTTCTTAGATCTGAAATTAATATTTTCTATTAAATTTGGAAAGCTTTCAGCCCTTATTTCTTCAAAAATTTTTCTGCCATTTTCTAGCTTCTCCTTCTGGGATTCCAATTACACATATATTGTACCATATGTTTCTAAGATTCATTTTTCTTTAAACTTTTTTGTTTCTGTTCTTTGGATCGTGTAATTTCTATCACTCTATCCTCAGTTTCACAGATTATTTTGCCGTGTGTAATGTGCTATTGAGCTTATATAGCAATCTTTTATTTCAGCATTTGTATTTTTCAGCTCTAGTATTTCCATTTTTTATAGTTTCAATTTCTCCCTTGGGACTGTCTATTAATTCCAAGACACCACACTTTCCTTCAATTCTTTGGACATAATTTCATTTAATCCTCTAAACTTACTTATAATAGCTGCTTTGAAGTCTTTCTCTGCTAAATGCAACTTCTGGGCCCACAGGAAGACAATTTTTATTGACTATCTTCTATCCCGAGTAAAGGTCAACAATTCCTCTTCCTCTGCATGTCTAGTATTTTTGGTTAACACTGGATATTTTACATAACATGTTGTATCAACTCTGCATTTTGTTGTATTCGTCTGAGGATTACCGGGTTTTGTTTTAGGAGGCAGTTAACTTTCCTGGATTCAGCTGCATCAACTTATCACTTGCTGGGTTATATTTCTGAATATGGACAAATGATTTGCTAGTACTGGCCCATCTCTATTTGCACCAAAAGCTTGGACTCAGTATCAGCCATGGCTGCTTGCTTGAAAGGATGGCTTTGCTTGGGTAAAACACCTGCTGCACCAGCCCCGCCTGAAGCTTCCATCTCATCTTAACCACAGTTGACCGACTTATCCTCCCTCCAGTCCTCTGAACGCATCTTCCAATGGCACTTCCTCTAGCTGCAATGGTAACCTGGAAATGAACTTCTGTCCTTTACTATCTTAAAGTGATTATCAAGGCTGCACTTCTGCTGGAGCTGTTCTTCACTAGACATATATCAAGAACTGAGATTCACAGATTTACAATAAACCCTGAAAATAAAACCAAAATCCCAAAGGCTAGAGATCCATTTGCTGCCTCCCTGACATGTAACTTTGTAGTAATTAAGTCTGTCTTTTGTCAGAGACACACTGCCAGGTTGTTAGCACAAAGATCAATACCGTGGAGAAGAATCTAGCATCAAAGGGCAACATAGGTCTACTGTCAATCAGAAATACTAGACTTGTAATTCACAGTCCTTAAGGCTCAATCACTACTGATAGAAATTACCTCAGAAGAATAAAAGATCAAGGGATCAGAGAAAAAGTATCAGAAATACGAGTAGGGAATGTATTTAGTGAAGCAAACAAGCAGCAAAATGAATTTCCGGGCTTGGTCCAACAAACGTTGGCTTCCCATTCTTGGACTCATCCCCACACCCATCTTAATACTCAATCTAATATGAAAACATTTTGTTTTAAAGGATGACTGGTTGGATGAACGGATGGATGGAAGGAAGAAAGGAAGAGCAAGCTACATCCCTGTCTATTAACCTGGGTTAATGTTTCTTCAGTGTTTCTAAAACAAAGATGATTATAAAGCAACACAGCAGGAGAAAAAAGTATTTTTATTAGATAACAGAGAATGCTATAGGCATTAATCTCATCACAAGTTCTTTAAAACGTTAAAATCTCTTAAGGGGTTTAAAATTCAAAAATTCATGAAAAAAGTTACAACTTTTATTCTTTGACTCCTTAAAGACCTCAAGACAACTTAAGCTACTGTTATTAGGTTAGCAAACCTTATTTCGTGTCACTAGAGGAAGTAATATCAGACCTTTCCAACCAAGACACAGAGATTAAAATTATTACAAAATAAATACATACAAAACATTCACCCTTTTACTAACACCATTTATATGCACCATGCATATTAGGGCCCAACTGCTAATCACTATTATTATGATTATAATAATAATATAGTATCTTCCTACTTAAACTATAATTTTAAACATTTCCTCTTTATTCACCAATTCATAAAATTCTATTCGTTTATATATTTGTTCAGTGCCTAAGGCATATTATTCAGCTAATCATCTACTAATAGTAATCTAAATTAGTGTTTCCTATCCAGATCCAGTTGGAAGCTTGGTCTTTTAAACTGAATTGGTTTATTATGAAGTGGATTGCTACATTTAGACTACCTACAATTTGAGGGAAATGTACTCTGTCCGTAGGTACTAATCACAACGATCTTACTTTATTCTTCAGAAAATCCCATACACAGGTAACTATGTTCAATATCCTGTGACAAACCATAATGGAAAAGAATATGAAAAAGAATGTATATACGCGTAACTGAATCACTTTGCTGGATGGCAGAAATTACCACAACACTGTAAATCAACTATACTTCAATAGAATTTTTAAAAATCCCATAAATTTACATTTATTATCTCCAAAGCCAACCTATACAAACAAATACCTTAGGCAGGAGAGGTTCATTCTGACAAACTGCACTGGCGTCCTGCAGAGCCTGTTCATAGTTCTTCGTGGATAAATACAGCTCTGCTCGCAGCAGCAATAACGAATTATCACCAGGAGCTGAAAGGCATGAGGAATGGAAATAAATAAAACTGACTGCATTTTTAAAAGATGATCTTTAAGTCATTAAAAATATTAAATTAGAAAACAAACATAAAGGTAAAATACATAACACCTCCTCTAATCATATGCAGAGTTCCGTAGTTTGATAAGTATATTTTACATAGCTTTTCTCAGGAAATCAGAAAGAGAATGAGTAAGGTTTCAAAATGCACCAGGAAAAACAGACTGCTACACACACACTAGCTGCGACATCATCTCTATTGAGTAGATGCTGAATCATCTTAATGTTCTAACTAGGTATTTAAAAAGAAAAGATTTAGAATAATTTTCTTGAAAGTACACAAGGAAATTCACACTTAAAAACAGAAAAGTAAACCATGATTTGTTTTTCTATGCAACTGAGCGGGTGCAGATTCGTACCCATGATATGTTCAGGTAAGTGGGAAAAGAAGGGAAAACAGGTCTTCCTTTTCCCTAGATTCTTCAAACGGAAGAGATCTTGAGAATTACAGTGCTCATATGCTACTAAGGACCTAAGAACAGCTTACAGAGAAGCTAACAGTGCTCTCACTGTGAAGTGATGACAGTGTATGAAGTTGTTGATTAGGCAGGGTACCATGGAAACGTGACAAAGCCGGAGCTCAAGAAAGCAGAACCATCATGGCCGTGTTTCTAGGCCGCTGTACAGAGTTCACTCTACCCATACTCACTGTGTAGTCTTTGAAGTAGAGCTGAAGGGTGCATTTTAGTTCATCAATAAAATTCTGGGCGCCTAAAATGTGTTCTCATCTCTCCACTGAAGACGCATTTTTGACCTGCTCCAAATCCTTGATCTTGACCTTTTTCTCAAAGTAACCACTTGGTACTTTCCAAAGCCTACCACATCTCCTCTCTGTTTACAGAGTTAACTGGTCAAAGGTGCAGGCAGGGCATGGGGAGCAGGTATTAAATTATGTTACTGCTACAAATGTATAATATAGAGAAGGTATGACAAGGAAAAAAGTGAGAAAAGGGAAAAGTAACAGCAGGAATGGAGGAGCCAAACAAGAAAAGCTGAATTTTTTAAAAAGACACTGACAGGCTGGAGCAGAGATTAACAACTTTTTCTGTAAAAGGCCAGACATTAAATATTTTAGGCTTTGCAGGGAAAGAGGTCAACTTGAGGGTATTATGCAGGTATTTGTACAACAAGAGAGAAAACAAATATTTACACCTTTTTTATTGACAAACTGCAAAATATAGTAATTTAGTTCTTTTTTTGTAGTATAGGTCTACTAATTAGAAAAATGGAATTCTCTTAGAGAAGACAACATTCTCCTCAATTCAGGTTCAAAGTTAGTGTTCCCTGTCATAAAAATTGATTGAAAATGTTCACCTATTGATCTGCAATGACATTTTACATATTCACCTTTGAAAAGGCACACAGGTACTATGGAATACTGATGTCAATCCACACGCATATAATTTTAAATTGAGCATTTCACTGCCTGGAAAGTGTTTATAGAATTCTATTAGATTCTTTTTTTTTTTTTTTTTTCAGTATGCGGGCCTCTCACTGTTGTGGCCTCTCCCGTTGCGGAGCACAGGCTCCGGACGCGCAGGCTCAGCGGCCATGGCTCACGGGCCCAGCCGCTCCGCGGCATGTGGGATCTTCCCGGACCGGGGCACGAACCCGTGTCCCCTGCAGCGGCAGGCGGACTCTCAACCACTGCACCACCAGGGAAACCCTCTATTAGATTCTTCTCATGATATCTGCCCCTTTAGTATGTCAATATACACTAAATATAATCGCAGATTAATCATTTTCAACTGAATATTAGATGAAAGCGCCTCAGTTGCATGGTTGAATGCATTTTGAAATACAGAAATCTTCTTTGGAGACTTTTGGAAATCTAAAACAAACAAAACAAAACAAAACCGCTGCTGGAAGTACAGTGTGAGCTTGGGAAACATACCTACGAAGGCATTAAAACAAGCGGGTATTAAATTTCATAGAATGCTCTTCCAGCAGCTATTACATGCAGTATATCTCCTCCCTGTTATTACAGTGAACCACGTTGAAAGATTTGTCCAACGTTGAATTATCCTTACATTCCTTGGATAAGCCTTCCTTCCTGACCTTAACTCTTATTACACTGCTGGATTCAAAATATTACTAAGAAGTTTAATTAAGGTTTGTGCATCTATGTACATGTCAGACCAGTCTATAAATTTTTTTCCCGTGCAAGCTTTACCTGATAACAGTAACAAGATTATTCTAACCCTACAAAATGAGATGGAAATCTTTCCAAACTTTTTTATGAGCTATCGATAAAATAAGATGGGAGTTAATCTTCCTTGAAAGTTTATTAGATCTTGCTTGACAGTAGTGCCTCTGTTCAGAAGAAAATCCCTGAGTTCAATTTCTTTAATGTTTTTTGGTCCATATCAGTATTTTACTTCTTCCTGGATCAATTCTGGTAATTTATAGTTCCCTTAAAATTGTTCTTTTCCTATTGATTTTAAGATCTGTTGTATTTATATCTGCAGTTATACTTTCCTTCATTCCTGATGCTACTTGTGCTTTGCATTTGTCTTCATCGCACTTGCCAAACGTGTCTGTTTTACCAGTTTTATAATAAACCAGCTTCTCACTTGTTAACCGGCTCAATTTTTCCTGTTTCACTAATTTTTCTGTTTTTCCACTATTTTGTTGCTTATACTTTGTGTTAGCTCAATTGATGTTGAGTTTCCTGAGTGAAAAACACATTTCATTTACATTTATTTTTAATCTTTTTCTAATGCGTTTAAGCCTCCACTCCTCAGATTCTAAAGGCTGCTTTTACTGAAGTCCGAGGGCAATAAAATTCACTTCCCATCTAGACGTTGAATGAATCAAACTATTTTCTTTGCTGGCTTCTAGCATTTGACAACCCATTTATGAAGCCAGCACTTCATAAATTTAACCTATTAAAACATTTAAAATAAATCTCAACACATTTTCTAAGCATCAAGCCTTAAGCTTAATAATACTGAGAATTTATTGAGGAATCGCTCAAAAATGAATGGAAGAAGAAAAACAATTTAAAATGTTTTGTGGAGAGAAGGTAAATGGAAGAAAAATGTTTCCTCCAAAAAAACTAACACAAAATTTCAGACAGTTTACCAATTAACCCCTGTACAGGCAAAAGATTCAGAAGAGGACAGCCTGAGAACAGGCTTTGTGAGAAGAGAAGAGAGATTGTAGTTTGTGTTTAGGGCTGATCAAAGGCTGTTCTCCTCCAATTGCCACCCAGGGCCACTGTGGTGCTGGGAGCTGGGGTTACTGCTGGACAGTCTGTCCAGTGAGTGGGCAGTGGAGAGAAGTAGAGACCTATACAAGTGCTACTTTAAAAGGGTTGAATGAAGTGACACAAAGCAATGACAACTGGGTAGTGTTCCCAATGAATAGAAGGAATGAATAGCAATCTCCTCATAGGTTATTTGTTCAAACTAATGTAGGACTTACAAAGTCAAGTCCATAAATCTTGAGTGTACACCTTGAACTTTACATATGTTACACCCATGTAATCACCACCATGGTCATTTCCAGGATCTACGAAGGTTCCCTTGGGCACTTTCCCAGTTAGGACACCTCTCCAAAGGGTCACCACCAGTCTGACGTCTATCACTACAGATTACTTTAGCCTATTTTTGAACTTCTTATACATGGAGTTATATAAATGGAATGGACCCTTGTATCTTTCACTCAGTATCATTCTGTGAGATTCATCCATATTATTGTAGGTCTCAGTGGTCTTTTTAAAAAATAAACTTTTGTGTAATATTATTTTGTGCATTTTACACAAAATACTCTGAATTGATTTACTTACTCTACTGGAGGGCTGTTTCTCAAATGTTTCTGGCACATATAAGTAAAGCTGACACATTCTTGCATGTGTCTCCTCGTGGACATGACATTCATTTCTATTGGTGTATACTCAGAAGTGGAAACACTGTGTCAGAGGTTGTATATATGCTTAGCTTTAGTAGGTACTCCCAAACATTTAACCTCTACCAAGTGACATTTCCACCAGCAACATAAGAGTTCCAATTCCTTCAAATACTTGCCCAAACTATGTAAATGTTTAACCATGTAAATGGTTAAACTTTCATTTTAACCATTCTGGCGGGTATGTAGTAAGATCTTATTTTAGTTTCAATTTGCATTTGATCACCAATTATGTTGGGCACCCTTTCATATGTTTATTGCCCTTTTGAGACCTACTTTTGTAAAGCATCTGTTGAAGTCTTTGCCTATTTTTTGGACAGACTTCGTTTTTGAACCGTAGGCATTCTATCAATATTCTGGACTTGCATTCTCAGTAAGACACATATTACATATACATACCACCTTTTCACTCTTTTAGGGGGTCTCTGAACAAAAAGTTCTTCATTTTAATCAAATCAAATTTATTTTTTCTTTTATCATCCTTTTAGTGCCTTATTCAAGAAAAAATTGCCTGTCCCAAGTTCATATTCTCCTATGATTTCTTTTAGAAATCTAATTGTAATTTCAATGTATGAGGTAAGTGTCCAGGTTAATTTTTTTCCATATGAATAAGCAACTGACTCAGACTATTTAAAATACTTCTTTCCCCAGTGAATTCCACTGGCATCTTTGTAGTAAATCAAGTGTCAGTTTCTGTGTGTCTATCCTTGGGCCAATACAACTCTTAATCACTGCAACATCACAGTACGTCTTGATACTTTATAAACTCTCCAGCTCTGTTATTTTTCTTCAATACTGCCTTGGTCATTCATCAATTTCCACCAAAACCATTGGCTGAGACTTTGAAATTGCATTGAGTCTACAGTTCCATCTGTAGAGTACAGATATCTTATTGATACCCAGACTTGCAAGTCATGAAAATAAAATCTTTCCATTTGTTTAAGTCCACTTTAATTTCCCCCAGAAATGTTTTGTATTTTCAGTGTAGAGGTTGTGAACATCCTTCAGATATTTCAGGATTTATTCC